ACTCAGGAAATGCTGACCTGACTGTGGGTTGCACTTCTCTTGTGTAACAAAAGATGGAAAAAAAAACCTGGCTTTTACTGGCACGGGAAACTGGCTTTAGTTTTGTCATCAATCAGCTCTAGGTTAAGGAACCAGGATGCCTCTTGAATAAACTCTTAGAACTTAACACTTCTCTAGCTGGAGGGCTGATTTTTCAAGAGCTATTGACAGGTCTGGAATAACTGCAATTACATTCGCTGTCGAAAAATACGTTTTCAGTGCCAGAAAGTAGAAGATTTCAATGAGGGAACTGCAGTCTCTTGATGACTGGTAACAACCTAAATCATCATTGTGGCTGTTAATAAGTAGATCAGTCTACTTGTTTGAATTGCAGTGATCTATAAAGAACTTGGAAGCTTAGTTCCTATTTTTGCTATGATTTGAGATTAAGAGATGAAATCTTAGAAACTGAATTAGCTGGGCGTGTATCCATTAGCACTTGGAATGCTTAACGGAGTGAGAAATGTGATGTAATTTTTCAGAAAATGAGAGATGTAGTCTTACAGACATTTGACCGAAACTGATGGGCTTTGTGGGCCTGTGTACATTCTTGCACACAAAACCTGATGTGAAGTGGAAGTTGGAACAGCTATTTGTTAAATTAAAGCAAAGTAAACCATCTAACCTATTGGAATATTTTATTGCTAAGTAAGTTAATGTAAAAATTTCTTGCTCACATAGGTAATAGAATATTAAAGGTAGAAAGCCTTCCTTTTTTTTTTTTTTTTTTTTTTTGTTACTTGCCATTGTTACTGTACTTTATTACTTAACAGTTCTTCTCAATGCAGTGGACCTGTATTGTTGCACTTCGCAGCTCCAGCTGAGAAGCTGGTATGATTGCATCTGAATGTCAGAGTGTTTATATACAGAGTGCTGACAAAACAAATATAGCTCAGTCTTGTTAGTCTGCCTTTTTCTGGACCCACGTTAGTCACACAAGCTCATACATTTTTATCTGTGGGTAAAATAACTCGTGCTTAGTTAGAAGCACGCAAAATCCTTCACTGATTCTTTTTCCTTTTTTTTTTTTTTTTTTTTTACCTCCATCACACATCATGCACGTGTACAGAACTCCAGATTTTGTCAGATGTCTGGCTGTGGCGGTACTGTGTGATGTACATCTGGCAGAATCCCTTGGGCTCCTTTCCTAAAGTGACGTTAGTATGTGGATTATACAAATACTTGAAGTAATAAAATCACTTGGCATATGGAAGAAATAGGTCTTAACCTGCAAACATTCATGGTGTACGTATAGGTGCATAAACATACATGGTGTGTATACATAGCTATAGGTCCATTCATTTTAACAGGCCCTTCTGTTGCTGACCTGAGCTACTTTTGTAGTCTGTGGTCATCCGTGTTCTTACAAGAAGCTACTCTTCATCCCTGTGGTAGCATTCAGTTTTCTTTTGCCTGTGTACGTTATTGAGTGCATGTATGTAAACACTGTAGAGTAAAGGAACAGCATTTCTTTATGCCCAGGCTTATGTGGATAAGAAAACCTCCTCTGTTGCTTGTTCTAATGAGGAAATATATATTTTTCGTATGTGTCTTATTATGCTGACTCTGAGCTACCTCAGAAGTTGTTACAGTTTAGTGTGGTGTTTAAACTGTGTTTAGTTTTTTCTGGAAATCGTCTATACAGAGCAGCTGCTGAATTAGACATTGTAGTAAAGTAGGACAGTAACTCCTAGCAGTTAGCTGGCTGCAGACTGTCCTTCTTCTATTAGCTGATTTCCTGCAGTTATGGAAAGTTACTGATTTACCTTGATAAGAGGGAAGCAATGAAACTAGCGGCATGGGGGGTCCGGAGTGCTGACAAACAGAGAATTGATAATTCTATTACTGTTGGTGTTTTTGAGGGTTTCTTGGTTCAAGACTGCATGTAATAGTTATAGGAACTGCTTTGCGAGATAATCAGGTTGTAACTATTCATTATAGACTATATACATAGACTATATACTTTATAGGATGTATTTCGTAGTGTCATTAAGGATGGAAAAGATGACTTAGATCTTCTAGTCCAACCATCAACCTTTCACCACCATAGCCACTAAACGATGTCACTCAGTACCACATCTACATGTTTCTTGAATGTCTCCGGAGGACAGTGACTCCACCTCCCTGGGCAGAGTGTTCCAATGCCTCACGACACTTTCTGACAGGAATTTTTTCCTAATATCCAACCTGAATCTCCCTTGGTGCATCTTGAGGCCATTCCCTCTAGTTCTATTACTAGTTACATGAGAGAAGAGGCTGACCCCACCTCAATAGAAGCTTCTGTCGGGAAGTTGTAGAGAGCAGTACAGTCTCCCCTGAGCCTCTTTTCCAGTCAGAGCAATCCCAACTCCTTGAGCTGCTTGTCATAAGGCCTGTGCTCCAGATCACTCACCAGCTCCATCACCCTTCTCTGGACATGGTCCAGGACCTTGATGCCTTTCATGTAGTGAGAGACCCAAAAGTGAACATAGTGTTTTAGGTGTGGCCTCACCAGTGCTGAGTGCAAGGGGACAATCACCTCTATGGTTTTATTGATGATACCATTTCTGTTACAAGGCAGGATGACATTGGTCTTCTTGGCTACCTGGATACACTGCTGGCTCATGTTCAACTAGCTAAAAGTGATTTACAAAAAAAAAAAATAATAATAATAATAAAAAAAAAAAGTAACATTTTAATTTAGCATTTTGATTCTGGACACTATTTTTTTTTTAATGCATGAGTGTCTTTTTCAACTGCAAACAATGCAGTAAGATTATGAAGGTGCATCTAGTCAGTTTATCAGACAGGATCTTTTCTTTATCCAGCCTTTTGTATAATTTAGCACTGGATAGATGATTAAGATGAGATGCCCGGTGCTAAAAAAGTAGTGAGAAATCATGATTGAGCATTAAGGAGAGAATTTATTTTTGCATTCCTTTTACTTGCATCGTAAACGTTGACTGGATTCTAATCCCAAAGACATGTTCGATGGTGACGAGTGGTCTAGGTTTCAATCTAATAAAGAAGGTTAGGAGGGTAAGGGCTTTTTCTTCATCCTAACATTTAAAATAATTTGTTCAGTGTTATGCACAGTCCTTGTAATTCAAAAGCTCGAGGCAAATGCCAAGTGGCTGCAGTACTTTTGATTATTTTTTTTGTAAGACTCTTAGTCTGCGTGAAACATCTGTTTCCTTCTCCCTGCAGCTCATTTTGATGGGTAATATGATTCTAATAGCATATGCTGCTGTTCAGTGAAAGTGTCTCAAATGCCTACGTGAAAACAAATTGCGGCTTCTGCCATTCACCATATTCTTTAAAAAAATACTGTAAACATTTAAAATCAAAAATGGCAATAGCCTGTCTCAGTTACACCTGTGATAGGGAACTGTGGCAGAAAGTTCGTGAAGATAAGGAGTCACTTAACATTTGCCCACGCTGTATGTGCTGGGACACTGCTGACTCTGTTCTTCTGCTGTGCATTTCAGTCCTCTGTGTAATGAATAAGGAGAGTGTAGAGATCAGAGGAGAGAAATTTGTATAGATTGCTTATGTTGTTTTGGGTTTCCTTTCTGCATTAGTTCACACTTGGATTTTTGAGAGCCAAAACTTCTGGCTTGAGGCACACTGCCTTTCAGAGCAGAGATAAATTTATTGCACCTCTGCAGTCCATTAAAAATCCAGATAGTGGTGAGTAACTGAGTGCTTGCCATCCAAAATTTCAAGCCAACTTTCCTAAATTTTGCCACTTCCTAGGGCTGAGTGCAGCACCCTCTGTTGTACAGAGCAGTTTCCACCTCAGTAACAGAACTTAGTGCTTTGTTTAAATAATTTTTTGGGCCCAGACTCCCTGAAAACATCTCAAAAGCACCTTTGTGAGCTGGGCTGATCTCTGGCTGAGCTAGCAGGTTGAGCTGAGGTTGAAGATGTTTTTGCAAACAGAGGCTTTTTTTGAACTTATGTTCTTTTCCCTGGCTATCAGACTAACTGCTGTGCTTTCGTTAAAGTTCCTTTAAGCTTAACACTACTTGATGCAGCTGACTGCTGTAAAATACAGAGGCATTATTGTCAGTTCCTGGAAAAATCTGGCACTTCATTTTGTCTCTGCTTCATCTCAGGCTCTCAGTGTGAAACTGTAGGTCTGGTGAAATCAACAGGATGGTTGTTAGGAGTTCCTATCCCTGTTTTCCTGGTACTGTATATGCAGCTAATAGATTGTGGCCACGACCATTTCTGGTATTGACTTAATTTGCTTTTTTTGGCAGTGGTACAGATGAGACCTGCTTCCACAAGCATGTCTTAGAGACAGCGGTACAGTAGTATCTCTATATTTAAGTGTCAAATGCTGCCTACAAGGCGGTGTCACCGAAGCCACCAGTTCAACCTAATGAGACCGCTCTCACAGTAGGGGGCAAATAATGAGTGCTTGTTGTTAGGATGCCTCTAATTCTGATGGAGAAATCCTCATGGCTTGAATTTCTTTTTATGAGAACACTGTTTCAAAGGATGGAGCAACTCAGTTAATTTATTGTCCTAAAATGTGTTTCAAGAGGCTTCTTTGGTAAGTGAGATTGCAAACTAGAAAACTATAAAGGGAAAGAAGTATCCTCAAAAGAGAGCCAGTATTTTTGAGCAAACATAGCTATAAATGCATGTGTATTTTAAGGTCAAAGTTTGAAGAGCTCTTTAGTCAAAACCTGAATCTGATTTTGCTTATAGAAATCGTGTGTTTATCTGAGGCATTGAGATGTAATTTCAGTTTATACCATGTTAGCACAACTAATCCTTTCAGTGATGTTCAGCTTCTGCCAATTCTGTCAATGGACTAATTGTGTGAAGTGAAGCATACAAGCGCAGCAGTGTTTTATGTACTACATCTTACCACTTCCTGACTCTGTCTCACTACCTTCTTGCAGTCCTCTAGCCAGATCTGTTGTACAGTCAGAAATGCCCAGCTTTGACAAGCTCTTCTTGCATTGCAGGAAGCCAACTTTTATAGTGCATCCATAGGAAGCGTCTCCACTACAGCCTTTCACCACGCAGGAGGAAGACTGAAGATGCAGGCAGCTGGCAAATGTGAAAGCTATGAAGAGGTGTTGTGAGGCTGACGGTGTTTTTTATAGAGAGTGTGTTTTCTGGGAAGGACGTAAGAAGGGAGATAAACAAGTGATGACTGTGGCAAGCTGAGAAATAGCTGCGGCAGACCAAGATGTGCCAAAGAGGAGATCACTGCAAAAAGGTAAGGATGCCAACATCATCCTATCCTTTTTCCTCCTGCTTGAGTATTTTCTTCATCAGTGATTCTTGCTTTGAAAACACTGATGTTTTCTGGAGAATCTTGTGAATACTAAATAGCTGTTCAGCGTTTCATCGAGGAAAAACACGGTAGTATTTTTGTATCTCACTCTAGCCCCCTCAATTCCTTCTCTCTTTGTTTCTAGCAGCTTTGTGGACTCTTAAAATATTGAAAATAGAAGATGAAGAATACCCCTGGATAATTCCTGCATAGAGAATAATAGTCCAGCAAGACACTGGTGTTGGGCAGGGAAAATCGATGTAGAAGTTGATCGAGTCTTACAAAAGACTTTGGCTCAAGATTAGAAATAACTCTGAAAAGCACATTTTCTCTTAAGTTGTTTTTACTTAAGGGTCTGCCAGGAAGGATGTATGACTAACGAGACTACACATCTGTTTCAAAAACCTGTGTCATAATGTCATGTATGCATCCAAAGGGAGACTGTCTGGAGGTTAATTTATGTTCAGGTCTAACAATGCAGCGTCACAGTGTGATTTAGGATGTTACTCAGCCTTGGCCTAAGTCTGTCAGCCAAACAAATGATGAAAGTCTTTTCGTAGGTATGGAATTGTGCCATGACTGAGGAATTTTTAAAATCCCGGTGGTAGTGTTGTCAGCTTAACTGTTTTAATGCAGTTTATAGCTAGATCGGTATTGATGTTCAGTCATCTAATTTTTGTTTCCTGCTTTAACTGAAGGTAGTCTTAGGTAATTTTGAGTTTTAGATTCTCTTATTTAAAGATGCATGTGCTGGTTTTCCCTTAAACCTTCTCAGTGGTCTTCACTCGTAGGCATAGTGTGCATGTGTGGTAAACACAGTAGCGTCAGGCACTGTTGCAAGGCTTATTCCATGTTATGAGTAATGGAAAAGTACCTTAAAAGGTGAGGATAGTGTGCAGTAATGATAGCCTACTAGGTGACAAAGCTGCTCCTGATTTTTGAGTGAGACTTAATCTGAAAGCTCCTGGAAAACCCCATCCCTAGTTCTCTGTTTCATGTGAGCATCTGGTAGGTTATGTCAAACTAAGTCTTTGTTTTAGCAGTTGGCCTTCTAGTTTATTGGTTCTCTAATTACACTCCAAATGAAGCTTCACATATTTAAACAGGAACACATTTGCAATCTGATGTTTTGGAAAATATGTCCCTGGAAGCTGAAGTATATGTCTTAACTATGGGACCAACTGTCTTCAAAATTTGAGTGCTCCAGGATTTGACAACTCGGAGGGCCAGCATTGCTCAGATAAGCTGAGCACCTTAATGTCAGACTGGAAAGTATTAGTAACAGATAATGACTTCCTAGCAATTATAAAGCATGACCGACTTGGAGACCTGGACTATTTTCTGGTTGGCAGTTGTCATAGTCATGTTGATAAAAGGTAAGCTTGTGCACACAGAACTGCCTGTGTAATGATCTTAGGACCTTTTTAGTCTAAACACTTCATGACTCTGAGATCTACCAGAGTGACTGGGAAACGACAATAAATTATTAGAATGCTCTCAAGCATCTGGACTGAATGACCAAATTGTAATGTGCCTGAATGACTGTCTTTGTTATTTGTCTTACAGGTCCTCAGTCTCCATTAGCCACCAGCCACATTGTAGCAGTGTAGGCGTTGCCATGAGGATCAGGAGGTGTCCTTTCTGCTTTGCTGTTTATCTTTTGATCCTGCTGGGTAAACATCAGAGAGAGCCTAATATGTGGGCAGAGCACACATTTCAAGAGAACTGTCAAGCTGGTTGCTTGCCAGTACATACATGAATCTGAGTAAAAGTACTCCAAGTCCAGGGGATTCTGTGGCACTGCATGAGTGTAAGAACTGGTACGTTTGTTGGGTTAGACTCTACTTTTTGAGAGATGATGCCCCGACGAGGATTTCTTGTATTAGTCTCTCGGCTTGTAGGCCTGCTGGTGGTGGCCTTTTGCTCTGTGTCCATCGTTTATATGTTGGCTTGCACACCTAAGGGTGATACTGAGCAGCTTGTCTTGCCCAGGGTTCACAGTCCGACTGCAAAGGAGGGATATGAAGCTATTCTGCAGGAGCGAGAAGAGCAGCACCGCAACTACATCATCAGCTTGAAGAAGCAAATTGCCCAGCTGAAGGCTGAGCTCCAGGGCAAGAGCGAGCAGCTTAAGAGCATGCAGGACCATAACCCAAACCCCTTGTACATTCATCTTGACCACAGTAATCCAGAGAAGGCCCAGGTTAATCTACTGGCATTTCTCCGTGCCCAAATAGACAGAGCAGAGGTGCACAGTGGTGTTAAGCTGTCCACAGAGTATGCAGCTGTACCCTTTGAGAGCTTTACTCTACAGAAGGTGTACCAGTTGGAGACAGGGCTGACGCGCCACCCAGAAGAGAAACCTGTGAGGAAGGATAAGCGAGATGAGCTGGTTGAGGTGATCGAGTTAGCTGTTGGGAATTTGAACAGCCTGGAGGGGCACAGCAATACCAAGCACCGTGTATACACAACTTCAGACTTCGTGGAAGGTTTGTATGCAGACAGCAGGTTCTAGTTCTCCTACAGACCTGGTGAGCTGGTTCAGAGAGACTGCCTTACTGAGTGAGGTGGGATAATGTTGTAGCACAGATGTACAGGACAAGGTTAGCGCTATGACCCAGTGGGGCTGTCTGGGATACAACTGTAGGCGTTATCACCTATTCTGCTGTTCAGTAGTATGAGATTTGATCCACAGCTGACCTCACCAAGCTGAGTTTATGTAAGAATGGAAAATTATTTTCCTTATCTTTAAATGTTTTTACTGCAAACTTAGGAGACATTTTGGTAAGATGCCTGCCTTTTACATCTTTATTTTACTGAAAGGATCAGGGCATGGGCAGGGATTTGAGAAATGCTTGTCTAGTTGACTGAAGCTACACACTTCCAGTTTGCTTCCTTCTTTTTGCTCTTTTCTAAATACATTTCTACTGCAACATTTCTTGCCATGTACAGTGCTTCATGTTCCAATGAAGTTATTCCTTCTGTGAAGGCATGTTTTTTTTTTTTTTTTTTAAATGCACAATCAAGGATATTTACCTGGATACCAGTGGACCAAGGCAGAAACCAGTGTGTGTGTAAAGGCACGTGGAAGGGGTGTATGTTGGAGCACAGTAGTTATTGGTGGTGTTAGCTAGCTGGGAAAGCTGACTGTTTGCTTTTTGCCAGAGCTGCTCAGGACAACTAAAGTTCTTATAGGAGACGTATTAAAATTAAAAACTTAATTGCATAAGCTTTATATCATCTAGCTGTTTGAGAAATAACAGCATGCATAAGCTGTGTGCGTCCCTTATCTAGAACATGTGGTTACTGCCTTTGTCTCAAGATTGGGCAGGTGGGAGGAATGAAATTGAAAATTAGGTAATCAGGATTAGAGACAAGTTCAAAACCTGAACTGTTGCTGTTGATGTGACACTTATCTCTGTTTTTATCCTTATCAACAACCTTTGACACTGGCTCGAGTCCTGGTAACTCAAGTGTATTGCCAATCCTGCAGTTTAGCATGCCTAGTGTATTAAGTGAAGCAACTAAACCTGATTTGCTTGGGTGTCTTGTGTGGATTTCTTTATCCTTGTAGCTCGCATCTGTTACTCACCATCAGTTTTTCAGTACTAGGTCACTGCTAATGTATAGCAGTAGACACAATGTGTCTACTGCTAAATATGTACGTGCTCCTATGCAGGGTGTACAGAAAGAAGGTATTTCTTCAAGTACTTACACTTAACGGGAAGTGTTTCATGTCTGTGACGGTGATATCCTCAAGTGTTGCATCCTCTGCAGTTGATAGACAGAAGCACTTGTGCACAGGAATTAGACTGTGACCCTACTACCTTACATCTGAGCTAAATTCCTCCTGAGGAGACTTTCTGTTATCGTGAAATTTGAATACACTTCTCAGACAAGTTCTCTATCCAAGAGCAATAGTTGACACATGGTGGAATTTTCCATTTTTTCTTGCTCAGAACTAACAGAAGCACACCTTCCCCTGGGAGCCTGAAATGTATTCATCTGGCTACTGCTCTGCTCTTCTCTGTTTACGGAGAGACACTTTGACCATTCAGCTGCTATAATGTTGCCCTTGGCTCTTTGTTCATCCTGCTCTCTATTCCAGGTTCCTGGATTTCTTCCTCTAGGAATGGCTAAGTAACAACATAGGAAAGATCAGGAATCTGTGTATGATAAGCAGGCAAAGAACTATTATGTTTCCAACTGGAAGCCAGTTGTTAAGTGGGCAGAATAGCAGGTTTGATCATTAATTTCTGTAGGCTGCAGTACAGCTGAACAGGTTTGGAAGTCCATCATTTTTTCAAAGATGGAGGTAATAATTTGAAGACTCTCAAAAGCTTAAGCAGTGTTACCAGTGGGAGCACTTCAGAAAGATCTTTTTCATCAAAAAAAATCTTGTTATGATACTGTAAAATATGTTGTATTGTATTTTTTTTTTTTCTACCTCAAGTATGTGGCTATCTAATCATTGGAGTTTTAAAATAGGATGTGAGACAAGTAAGGAGTGGCTCTACTTTCTCAAATTGTCAGGGACCAGTGATGGGCTACCCAATGCATTTTTACCCTGGAAACTTACTGGAAGAAAGGATAATACCTTTCCTTAAAAAGATTTTCTTTTCTTTTCTTTTTTTTTTAAACTCTGTGAAGTAGGAAGGACACTGGAATGTTGAGTTGCAAGGGGAATGGTGAATGCTGATAAATCCTGTACGTGATTCCTGCATCATCCAGCAGAACATCAGTAGAAGGCTTTCATGTAGTCATGGAGTCATTAAGATAATCTAGGCCACCCATCCACCTACCACCGATGTTGCATCCAGGAAATGTTTCTGTTAACAATGGAAAACCTGAAATCTATCATCTCAGTGGAACTGAGGCTAAAATTGACATCTACTGAAGAGCATTTTGATGAAGTGGCATGACGGTTTACTATTTCTCACAGATCATGTAGCTCTGTGAAGCTTGTTTGCCTGCCCTAAAGAATAGAGCTCAGGCAGTTCATTTCTTCAGAGTGCCGTAGGAATTGCTGTCCCAAATACTGAACACTTCATGCTCTTTAATCAATCCTTCAGTCCAGGTTCGGTTTTTTTGATCACTTTTCCTTTTTGCTTCATGCTAGTGCTAGTCTCTCTGCTGATCCACAGCTGCTGTTTACTTGCCTATTTGTATGGGGTTTTCAAAGGCTTTGGTTTTCCTTCCTACCTCTGTGAAGGAGCAGTGCAAATTCTGTGACACATTTGCTGTGATGGAAGCCATAGGTGCTAACTGGCCTTCCTTACCCATTGTGAATATGTAGCTTTTCCAGGGTACCATATTTCAGAAACAGCCTTTTCAGGAAAGGTTTTTCTGGTTGGTTGGTTTTTGGTTTTTTTTTTTTTTTTTTTTTTTTTTTTTTAGTCTATTTTCCCCCATCCTCTAGCTCATCTCTTAAAATTGAGAGTGTTTGCATCTTTAAATCAAATAGAATGTCCTAATGGCAAAAGTGATGTAGTGCCTTTGGAAATGGGGGGGAGGCGGAGGGGAAGGAGAGAGGGGGGGAAATGTGAGTCCCCACCATGACTCAAGACATTCAGGCTCATTTCCCAGGCTTGTTTCCTGACCTTGGGCAAATCGCATTGGTCCCTTTTTCTAAAAATATTACATTAGCACCTAACCTGGGAAAAAGTTTTCTTTCTTTCTTTCTTTCTTTTTTTTTTTTTTTTTTTTTTAAACAAAACAAAAAAGAAACAAACAAAGAGGCCCAGATGGTTATACTCAATGCACGTTTAAACTATAAGGGAACTGCATGCAGTTCCCTTAAAGATAAAATGTTACAATAAACTTCTGGATTACCACCTTGCACAAGAGAACTTTGCCTTTGCCTGGGCTGCTTGTTTTCAGCTGTCTTAGAGGACTTGAACTGAACTGTGGTGCTAGAAGAAGCCTCTGTTGATGTGTGTATAGCATTGGATAGGGACCCTTGGGACACCATGTGCTCTTCCCTTAAGGAGCCTCTTGTTTATTTGACGAAGCTTCCTCAATTTACAAGTACAGTATATATCTCTGGGGAAGTGGTACTTAGGAGTGCACTGTTTCTTGGCTGCTGTAGGAGAGGATGTAGAGAAGTTATAAATGTCACCTGGTAGGTGTTATTAAATTGGTTAATCCTATCTTTGTTACTATGAAAAATGTTGTTTCCCTAAGTTGAAAATGAAACATTCCTATCTACTTCACTCTAGAGAAAATGTATATCAGACTTAATTTAATTTTTTTGGTTTATCTTAACATCAGAAGGCTATGTCATTCTTCCACAAAACAAACGTCCTTGGCATGGCCTATGTTAAGAAAAGAGTACACTCAGCTATACACTCAGATTATCAGCAAGCTTTATGTAATCGTAAGAATTCAGAGGCCCAGATTTCCTTTTTCTGACCATCAGAAAGAGGAAATGTAAGAACAATTATATCACCATTCAGATTATATCCATTGCAGGTTCAAGTTGAGTAATGGCAGTTCATGGCTTGTGCCGTGGGCAGACTGATAGAGAAAGCTAGGGAGAATCAAGAGCACAGTTCTAAAAGACTGGCAGAAATATAAAGATGTGTATTCTGTGTCATTGGACTCCAGTGTGAAGCTGGAGTGATACCACAATTGCTCAGTAACCTGATATTAAATATAAAACATGAAGGACATAATAGGTCAGTATTTCCGCATATTGAGCAGCTGAAGTGCACATTGAAGAAAAAAAAAAAAACACTTAGGCAACGGCAGAGAAGATAAGACAAGCCCACAGATGTTCTTGCCATACCAGCGTTAGACCTACAACACAAAATGAAGAGCTGGTGTCACTTGGCCATTCGAAGAGTCTTTCAATACAGAATGTCAAACTGTTGTTCATAATCAGGTAAGGAAGAAAAAAAGTCAACCTGAGAAAAACAACCATGTTTTTCTTGACCCTTGAATTTCTGAAAGGGAATGGAGTAGAATTAGACTTCTCTGCTGAAGTTGCTGAGATATTTACAGTGGGCTTAAGGAGTTAGGAAAAATTAAATGCTAGCTCTTCTTAAGCGTAGTGGATAGGGCTAAGAACATGCTTTGAGTATGCACTGCAGAGCTGGAAGTGTCATTTTGAATGGATAGCATCTATGACCTTTTGTCCGTCTGTGTCACATTTAAGGTGTCAGAGGAGTGCTTCAGTAGGATGTGACTGTTACTTTTATGTTTCATTCCAGCCTTCAGCATGGGACCATGAGTTTCACTCATGGAAGATGTTAAAAGTTCATTCCATGTAGTAAATAAGTACATCCAAAAATGCTCTCTACCAAGTATACCAATCCTGTTAAGAAATGTGTATGCGGCCTTCACTCGACAGCACCTGCTTCAATGCAATGTCTAAGCCATGTTTGTGGTGGTGTTTCCTCACACAGCCACATCGGGGCAGCACACAGGTGCAGAGGGGTTGGCATGCTGCTGGAATGGACATATTGCAGTCGGTTCAAGGTAACAGTTCTTGACTACTTGGTATGGATTAAATATCTTTTGAAGCTGTCCCGCACACTCTGAAGGATTTATCGTGCTTCTACTCTGTGCAAATGCCACAGTGTCATCCTTGCAGACCATTGCCTAGGAGTGGACGTCATTGCCACAAGGAAAGACAAAGTCTCTTGAGAGTTAAGGAGCAGGAGAGTTTTTGTTCTTATCAGCCACAGGTGAAGCTGATGGCATCTGGTTTTATTACAAGGCTTTTAAGAGCGCCTCCATTGTAGTGTAAGAAATGAATGCATTGATTAGGAAGTGGCTTTTCTGGAAGATGCCCTAATTGCTCATAATACCAAGAGGCAGGTTGCCTTCTACACTATCTCTGCATCACCATTGCTGTGCATGCTGTGTTCTGGGATGGGCAATGCGTGATGTACAATTGGATCAGTCTGGAAAAAAAAAAAAAGGACAGTGTGTCTGCAGGATTATAATGTGTGAGAGCAAATGGTGACCTTCGGGGGCTGTAATTCAGCCAAGTGTAGGTGTGCATCTGTTAGAATACCAAGTAACTCCTACAGCCCAATCCGCTGTCTGACTGCCTCCTCCAAATGCTACTGAATCACGTAATGGTATAATAGCAAATAGCTCATGCCTCTGCTGCTTTTTCAGCTTAGATGTAGTCCATTAATCCTTTCTCCCTGTCCTAGAGCTGAGTTTTACTCCTAAATCTTCTATCTCTTGTCTTCACACAGGGATCTACCGCACAGAAAAAGACAAAGGCACCTTGTACGAGCTGACTTTTAAAGGGGACACAAAACATGAGTTCAAGAAGGTTGTTCTATTTCGGCCATTTGGTCCAGTAATGAAAGTGAAAAATGAAAATGTCAATATGGCTGACTCGCTTATTAATGTGATTGTGCCATTGGCCAAGAGAGCCAGCAAGTTTCGTCAGTTCATGCAGAATTTCAGGTAGGTCTCCATCCCAGTGCTGCCTCTCCTATATGTGACTTACTAAGTAAGATGCAACTTCAGGAGTTGTTGAGACCTCCCTCAGTAAAAGTTATGCTATGTTTACAGAGCGTCTTATTGTGTGATTAGGAAATTGTTTTTGAGTGATCTACAGTGAGTGCAAGGCATTTGATTCTTAATGCACTGTATTTAGCAGTAAAAGTCACTGTATTTCAGTCATGAGGATTTCTGATTTTCATGTATTAAGATGATAGGATTGGAAGGAACCTCTGAAGATTATCCAGTCCAACCCCCCTGCTGAAGCAAGTTCCTGAAGAGTTTGTAGTACCTGGCTTGTGTTGGGCACTTATTGCTGAGTAGCAGTGTAAGAATTTCATGGTGGCAGTTGCAGAGGAACATTTTTAGGGAAAACAGAGGGTTAGTGCTTCCAGACACTTTGCCAGGCTTTATTTTGGAAAATATTAAGGCAATAGAAGTCAGAAAGGAAATATAATCAAACTTCAGGATAGTTAGGAGTTGTTAGTTTTAAAGTCCTTTTCATTTTCAGTGTAGATGTGATCTTAGGAGGGAAGATGTAACTGAAATGTAGCTTTAAATAGTTCCCCAGAAAAGGCTGTCTTAGCAACAGATACTGACTCCTGCAATGGGATTTATTTTGCTAATTACAGCCATCTATAAATAGGCTCCTTGTCCAAATCAACCATCTGAGCGATGTTTGTTTTAGAATGGGAGAAATCACCTTCTGGTCATGCTGATTTCTATTGATTGGAGGAAAAAGTCTTCCTAATTAAACTTTGTATCAGTAAGGCACGTGTAGCGTTAGGACAAATTAATTGTACCCTTAGGCTTCTGACTTGGTCTCCAGGTGATACTTGACTTCACAAAAAGTTCCCTAGCAAAATGCCAAAGATCTGAACTTGGAAGTATCCATTATATAAAAAAATAAATAAAAATTGATGTTAAGAAGTAGAGATTGTATAGCCTGTTTAAAATCCCTCGTGTTCTTATAGGTGGCACAGTTAATGCCTGCTGGATCATTCTTCTTGGATCTGGATGAGGGTTTTAAACAAGGCTCTATTAAAATAGCAAACACTATTTAGAGGGTTGTTATCCAACCTGCCTTAAAGTTGATTAGTCTGCAGTCCCTTCTAGAAAAAGCAGTGAGCCGCTTGTTCAGTGTACAGATCTCTGCTGGTGAATTATGCCCACAGGAATGCCTTCCAAAGTCCACCCTACACCATCTTCTCCAGGATGTGCTGGTTACTGAAGCACGTGAGCCTCTGGGACAAATCATAAATCTGTCTCTGTTCTCTAGGGAAGTGGGCATTCAGCAGGATGGGAGAATTCACCTCACAGTCGTTTACTTTGGAAAAGAACAAGTAAATGAGGTCAAATCTATACTTGAAAATACCTCCAAGTAAGTACCTGAGTATCTGATGTATGAACAGTGCACACAGTGATTGTATTATGAATTGGAGACAAGATTAAAAAAAAAAGTCCTTAACTCGTTGGAGGAAAAAAAAACATTCCTTGTATCAGTTATAAATGATGTTATTTTGACAGTCCCTGATTTCTGAAGGTGACTTTTTAACTGTTTCTGAAAGTCAGTCTTCAGACTTAACAGGTACAGGCAATCTAGTAGAGCACAATCTAGTAGGTGCTTTTGACCATCGTGCCAAAAATTCTTGTCTTGATCAGCTTTGTTACAATCCCCATGCTGGAAGAAGACCCTTAGTTACATAGATACCGTAGGTAATGTGGCCACAGGTATTTTACATTTGCATGCTGAAGAAACACTTGTCCTGCTAAGCTGCATTGGGGTCTTTATAAGGTCTGCCCAAGGAATGTCTTTGATAGGAATGCTAGCATAGTCATATGCAGGTCAAGCTCAGAAAGTACACGTAGTGGAAATCTCCTCAAAATTTTAAGAGCTTGTCTGTTCCCCTAAAGTGCTCTCAGAACCCTGGTATGATAAATTTCTGTTAGTTTTCACATAATGGATTCTCATCTCCACTTGCTCTGAGAGCTGGAAGTGAGCATATGCTGATGAATATTTTCCTACCCTAGATCAACCAATTTCAAGAACTTCACTTTCATCCAACTGAATGAAGAGTTTTCCAGGGGCAAAGGATTAGATGTTGGTGCTCGAGTTTGGAAAGGAAGTAATGTTGTTCTCTTTTTTTGTGATGTGGACATATACTTCACAGCTGAATTCCTGAACTCCTGTAGATTGAACACACAGCCAGGTACTGCTACTTTGCTTTCAGCAGATCCACAGCCATTGTGTAACACTTCACTACAGTATTCTTGTATTTGATTTGGTGATGAAGCTGCTGTAAATCACTCTTAAAACGTAGGGAACTAATTAAGACGTATGGAAATACCATCACTGGTTGGCTTTTGAAATGTTACAGCACCCCCCCACCTACTGTAATTGAATTCCTTGCCTTCGACACCTCAACTTTCTGGACCTGAGCCTTCTTGTTTATTATATCCTCGCATTTGTGTTCCCATGCAAAGAATATAAGCTGAGTTGAAAACTTATGTGACTGTATGGTTTTGATTTAGTCTGGATTGTGTCTTGTATGTGTGAGAAATGCTTTATACAGTTTAAAAAACAAATAATTAACCCATTGTCATTTCTAGGAAAGAAAGTTTTCTATCCTGTACTCTTCAGCCAATATAATCCCAGTATAATTTATGGCCATCAAGATTCCATACCATCTTTAGAACAGCAGCTGGTAAGCATATTTTTTTCTGAATGCCTGCTTTTACATGTACAAAACTCTCAATTTGAAACAGTGCATGTACTCTTGGGAAGTATTTCCCTATTCCTTGTGCATAGTGACATGCATAAAAGTGCTATGAAGACAAAATTAAGTATAACAATCATCTCACTGTGAATTCTGCAATTATTTCAGCCAAAAAGTATGTAAATATTATTCATTTTAGCCCATGCTTGTTACTTTATACCTGGAAAATAAGAATTTCAATTTTATCTGCTGCTCTGTCAGAAGGGATTTTTTTAATTGGCTAACAAGTTCACCCATGGCGTGGTGTCTTGGGGTAAAAGTCCTTGACGTTGCTCTCATCTCCTCTTTGCACTACTTCTTTTCCTTACGTCTTGAGAAGTTGGTGCTTGCCACAGCTGCTCCTCTTGATGTTGCAGGTGCTGCATCTGCCTGGGTCTGTCCTGTCTTAGGCTGGGCACTCGTGCTGTAGCTAAGAGTTTGGTGGTGTTGAAAGCCCAGCAACAGTCACAAGTGGAAAAAAAACAGACTACCCTTTTTTTTTTTTTCCTTTCTAAAATAAAACATGCTTTAGACTACTCATGTAGGGAATAAGTAGTTGAAAGATCATGGCAGTGTAGCACTTAGAGATTAAAAAAATACTTCCTCATTCACAACATCTATGAAAAGACAATCTTTTTTTAAGCTGTCACACTTAAAATTTATTTCAAATGTTACTGAAGAGTCTGGAACATCTTTTTTACTGCTTTTGTCTCAGAGGAAACCTGCTGTGGCAATACTATAGAATTTGCTTCAGGTTTTCTCTCTGAGGAGAGTATGCTAGAGATCCTCAGGCTTGTAAACACTGCTTGGAAAGGAAATAGAGTTTAGCTCACAAAGTCTCATAAATTCCACGAACTGCTTTGTCAGGACTGAGCAAATATTTATAGCTAATACTTGAATCATAAAATGTGATGCTTATTTCAGAAAAGCTTCTTGATTTCAGAAAGTGCTGCCAATCTCATTTTTAGGTAGATTTTTACATTTTCAGCCCACATTAGTTCCTGGGCAGGAGGCCAGATCTCTGCCATTAAAACAAGGCAGTTAGCTCTGTCCCGGTAATCGTGCTGCTGAGAAAGAAAAACTTCTGAAATCTTTGAAATAAATTGATTTGTGCAGGAGCTATTTGCGCTAATGGAAAATAATAATGCTAATGCATATGTGTAGCTTGCTTTGAGGGCATAACTACGGAGATTTCTTGTTAGAGTGCAGACCTGAAAGATCTTATTTTCTTTTAATTGGTTTCTCTTGTCAGCTTGGTTTTTTTTGGGGAAAGAAGAAACAAGAAAGAAAGAGCAACAGGAGCAGTAAAATAAAAAAAGCCACTAAAATGACAAAGGTTATGAACAAGAGGGGGAAGGCATGAATGAGAAGGCAGGAGAGACTATTTTGGAATAAGAATTTTTGGTTAAGGAAATGCTGCTGGGATTGATAAATCCAGAAATGGAAATCCTGCCTCATCTCCTGCAACTTTGTTGCAAAGGAAGCCAAAATTTTCAAAAATAGCTGCTTAAGGGTAGATTTGTAACCACCCCTTGAAGAGGGTGTAGTACTGCTGACTTCCTTAGAGGATTTAAATACCTGTCCCAGTCTGTTGAAACTCTTAGAGTTGAAATCACTCACACAGGGGAATTAGGACTTTGGTGATCTATTTTTGTGTTTGCTTTGAAAATGATTGCTGTGGTCTCTAATTGCTCTGATTTTCCATCTATAATACACTATATTTTCATAGTCCATTTCAGTAGTGTGGGCGGCATATCTGTTATGCCAAAGACTTTTATGGAATATATATTTACATTACTGGGCTCTAGTTTTAGCTGGTAGCTAAAATAGTTATGTGATGAAAATTATCCTTACCACTTTTTAAATTTTGGTCAAAACTAAGTTAATCAAGAAGCTGTCATTTGTACAATCAGGTCAGAACATCTGTTCTCTTCCAGAGCTCTTGTCCACCATCCAGATGCCACCCATCAGCTCTGTTGAAGAGTGGCTTTTCTGTCTTACCAGTATGTTTCTTACACGTGATTTTTGATTTTGACGTACCTCTGAAGAAGTGAACTCCAGATTGTGGTGGAGATATTTCTCCATTTGAGCTGGAATAGCAGTCAGGGAGCAAAACCTGATCCTTTTCTGTCAGGGGATTTATCCATGATAGCTGATGACATGGTTGTTCTTCTGGGCAGAAGCATGCTATAAATACCTACAAATGCTGGTGGATCAGCTACTGATTTACGTGGTGTTGAGTAAATGGGCAGTTGTTCCTGTTTCTGACTGCATTTGGGAACTTGTTTCTCTGCTGCTCATGCTGTAAGCATTTCTACTACCATATAAATGTTCCTTTCCCCTCATGCAGATTATTAAAAAAGAAACTGGATTTTGGAGAGACTTTGGTTTTGGAATGACTTGCCAGTACAGATCTGATTTTATCAACATAGGTAAGAATAATCCGCTCAAATACATTGGCTGTTTTACTGAAACTTAGGAAATTGTAGTCAACTTTCCTTTCTCTGGCCAGTGTGTCCATACCTCTGTTTGCAGCAGTAATCTGGCCAGGTGTTCAGACTATTCCCAAGTGCCATAGAGGTTAACAGAATCAAAGCACTGATTAGTACAAATTAAGCAATTCTGGCTGGTGGTGAAGGATTTGAAGTTGAGGGATTTTGGACACTTTGTTGGCAGAAAGCATAGCTGTTTTCAAAGGCTGACTGGAGCTAGAAAACAGCGGTAGTGCAATTAATAGCATCAAATTTGATAGTGGAAGATGCATATTTCTAGAGTTATTCTGGATTTTCTTTGTGTCAGGTGGCTTTGATCTGGACATTAAAGGCTGGGGTGGTGAAGATGTACATCTGTACCGCAAATACCTTCACAGCAATCTCATCGTGATCAGAACACCCGTCAGGGGTCTCTTCCATCTCTGGCATGAAAAACAATGTCTGGACGAGCTGACCCCAGAGCAGTACAAAATGTGCATGCAATCCAAAGCCATGAATGAGGCTTCTCACGGCCAGCTAGGGATGCTTGTATTCAGGCAAGAGATTGAAACTCACCTCCACAGACAGAAACTGAGCAGTAAGAAGACCTGAAGCCAGAAATTTGCTAACAAAAGATGGGTTAAGACTGAAAGAGAATGAAGATTTCAACGGGCTGGAAGCAAAAGCAGATGAGGGAAAGCGCTTGTCCTCACTTCTTCTGACTTTCCTTAATAGGGCTTTTAAATTCTCCGTTAGCTTGTTCAGCACTTGCTTCCAGGGGAGACTTGAACGCTTGGTGAGATAAAAGGTCATGGAGACAATGAAGGTTTCATAAATATCACTGTGATACAGTAATGAAGGAGATGCTCTTCCACTGGAATGTTTGTAAGATGCATGCAGTTGTTTAAAAGATTGACCCTTCGGTGGATCAGTAATAATGAGCTATTTTCTACGTATCTAAAAAAACCTGTGTTCAAAGATACAGAGTACCTGCTCTGAAAAGGAAATCTGATTATTAACAGAGGTTAAGCTGGAGTGACCAAAAGTCTTTTTTCCTTTTTGGGAGTTGGGTGGGGGGGACAGCTGCAGTGTACTTACAGGATTATTCACCAGTTTATTCAGTGACAAGAGCCATTTCAGTGCTTTCTAAAATTCAGAAAGAGAAAATCCTGCCAGTCAACTGTGATTTTTCCAGAACATGTGAGGTTAGTGTTATTCTATTTTGTGGACGGTAAACCAAAAGCAATCGTCTCTGTCTGTATCACATGAATCAGATGGTGTATTTCTGTTTTAGAATACTGTAAGTATCTCAACATTCTTTCTTTAAAATGGATTTGGTTTTGCCTGGGAATTAAGTTGTCAATACTTGTGGTTTTCAAATTCTAGCCTTACTAGGAAACAGTACAACCTTCCAATGCTTGGAAAATGTTCTGCAGTTCTGTTTTTCCTGGATGGGAACTTTGCTCAGATAAATGAATTGATTTTACTGTAGAATCTGAGTGCTGGAAAAAAGAAGCTTTATGCTGGAGAAGAGGAAACGTATTTCAACTTGGAGTACTGGTTTAGCAGGAAACTTCAAATTCTGAATGCCAGTTACAAAAGTTAATGAAAATTTTCTGTCTTTATACCAAAGTATTCCATCTGAACCAAATCTAGAATCTTGCCCAGGGCATAGCAGATTTTGTAATTAACAAAATAAATTTTTTTAATGAATTACTGAACCCTGGAAATTCTCTTACAGCAATTGTGTGTTCATGAAATCAGCCATCTTAATAGATTTTTTTCCATGATCTAACTGTTCCAAGTGGGCTATTGTTTTTGTAGAGCGGTTTAATGCTGACTGCTGTATATCATTTCAATGTTAAATAGCCAACAAAAAATGCATGGGTTTGTCAATCCCATTTATTTACCTAAGTGCTGCTTCTCCCAGTGGTCTCTTTGTTTTATAGCTACAAACTAGTTCAAGGCTGTCTGAAACTAGATTGTAATGTGGCTTTTGGGTTGTCAAAGCTAGGGGCAACAAGTATAAAAGACAGCAATTATGAATGAATAAAATGCTATTTGTCCTTTTGCTGAGTGATAGGAAGAGTGCTCGTGAACCTCTCTAGAAAGCACTGCATGCAGAATCTGCTGCTACTGTTAGTACGTCTTCCTTTGTACGTTTACATATTTGCCTTTTGTTAGATGCAAGTGACCTTCATTGCACTTTCCATGTGGAACACCAAACATGTCCCAAAACAGTGCAAAAATACACAAGGATCTGCTGGAAAGAGAACTCCATGCTTAGGAAAGAACCCTTAATGTATCACTTACAATGCTATCAGCAATAGTTCAAGTAGATCTTCCAAAGAATGGTTTTCTTTCCAGCATGCATGATAAATTCTTTAAGTTAATCTGTTCTGATGGAGGAATCTGACAAATGTTATTGTACTGGGAGGAGTCAGGCGTGTTGAATACATCTGAGGGCTGTGATCAGCTCTGTTCCAAAGTGAAAGCTTTTCCTATAGTCCCATTTAAGCTGGATTTGAAAATGGATGATGCATATAGTAGAAATTTCATAATTGCAACCTGCCTTGAACTTGACCTTTTCTATTTCCTGTGATATTTTCCATCATCTTCTGTTAAGTATACCCTAAGCCCTGAGCAGCTTAATGTTTCTCTGAGGTTGGCATGTCCTACTTGTTGAGCATGGTTGGATGATCTCTGGAAGTCCATTGAAACCTAAATTAGTTTCTAATTCTAAGCTTTGGGCATCTGTAAGTTCAATACATTGCTACTCTGGGTGTAGCACATCATCAAGCCCCTGTCAAAGTTGCACAAGTTAAGTTTGTTGGCTTTGTTGGTTTTTTTTTTTTTTTTTCTTTTGAGATCTCTTGTGATTTTTCTTGCATGTCTTTTCCCATAGGGATGCCAGGAGTAATACTGTCTATGCGCTTTCTGTCTCCTGGCTGCAGAAACTAGTTTGGCAAAAGGTGAGATTGAATCAGTGATGAGAGCACCAGCCCACAGTCATTGGCCATCCCAGTGAGATTCAGAGGAAAAGCTAATCACAGCAGAAGTCTGGTAGGCCTTGCTTAAGCATGGAGACTGTACTGATATGGAAAAGAGAGAAAGGGAAGCTGTTATTACCTACACTTCCATAGACAATTGGAGGTCTTTCATGCTGATTATATGAACATCCAACATAAGTGTAGCTTTTGGTAGGCAGCTCTCTACCTTCCGTGTCCTAGAAACAGACATCTTGTGATCTTTTTCAGAAAGGCAGTTTTAACAGGATCTTAGCTGGGGAGAGAATACAGGTCACTATTCACATTCGGACAGGTCACACAGGAATTTGTTTTTACTTTTTGAGGACTTTTGGATGTTCTGGTTAAAGGAATGAAGGCCTTTGACTAAATAAATTGACATGTCCTTTCAGCTGTCATAATTGTTTCAGCAAGTAGTTTACTAATGTTATTACCCTTGTAATACTTGCACAACATCCACTGAAGAAGAAATTGTGGACTTTTTCTACAGACTGAATAAAACCGGCATCTCTGATTTTTCCTTGCTTCACTCATTCTAAGGGTAACTTGCAAATAGGAAGTTATAATACAAAGGTATCCACTAGTCAGCAGTCCAAACAGTGAAGAGGCCCATTATGGATCTCAGAGACACAGTTGCTCATGTTTGTGAGGTCCTGCTGTGTCAGTGCCAAATCAGCCTGCACATTAAGTCTGCAAGTTAACAGACTGTTTCCCAAGCTTTCTCTCCCTGAGAACTCTCAGACTCCACCTTTTTAAAGAGACTGTCTGGTTTTTACTAGCCCATACTTACACAAAATACTGTATGATTTGTCTCCAGCAGGACAACTGCTATGCTGTACACCTGAGAACGTGAGAAGGTATTCTCTAGTGCTGTGATTCTGTGACTTAGAATTTCTCAGAAGAAGCAGTTCAGAAGAGGGAAGGATAGCTTTTTTCCCCCTACAGACTGCTTAGTGTCCTTTCTCATGATTGATGTCGATTATTTTGAAAATACCTAGTTCATATATGTGATATAATGCTCAAGAAGTTCCTTAAATCTGTTGTCCCATTACAGTTGCTACTTTCAGAATCTTAATTTACATTAAGGCTTTTATCTCTAGTTATTTAAACATGCTGCAGCTGGAGTGCTGATTATGCTCTCTGTGGAAACCACCTATCAGCATGACTGTAAATTTCAAGACCAGGTGATGATAAGAATTTCTTCTTATCTATGTTCTGCAAAATGCTGGTCCATATAAGACTCAAGCTTTTGACTGCTTCTGTTAAGCAGGGTATCCCTGATCCAGTTGAAGGAAGGGAACAAGTGAACAAGTGAGTACTTGCTTACTCTTTGACAGTCACATCTCTAACAAATGATGGTGTTAGCAGTCATGCGCAATAATCCCAAGTTGTGCATTTTCTCATGTGAAACAATTCAAATTGAAGCAATCTGGGTGAGGATTAATTTATGCGATTCTGTTCAGCTTCTTCCTCAATATTCTTAATTGTGTTTTAAGAGCAGTGTAACAGATACAAAGAGAGAACATTTTTTTGAAAAAAAAAAAAAAAAAATTTCTGTTATATGGTTCACACCATCTGCGTCCCAGTAATCTGGACACAACTAGTAATAAATAGCTCTGTTCTGAAAAACAGCGTTATTTACTGGCAAACACTTCCGTAAACTGTACTAATACTGATACAGGCCCTGTTTCTTACATTATTTAGGCTCTGTGAATGCAGTTCTTACTAACAAATTCTTGCATCCCTTCTCCACTTCCTTGCAAAAGGTTAATCCTACTCTAGGCAGAAAGGCCAGTGTGGGATTTAGATACAGGTTAGAAAACTATATTCATAGTCTATATTCAGATGCTCAAGGAATTTTTAAAATGTATTTTTCATAAAAATCCCTCTTCAGAGAACACATTTCACTGAAAGGCACCAAGGGCACCAAGGGTATGCTTGGATGTTTTACTTGAACATCCTTGATTCCAAGGGCACAGCATTTTACAGCACGGTTTCACATTAAACAAATTACTATCAAGGCTGATTCACTTCTCCAAGTTGTTTGGTGCCTTCAGGAAGCTATGATCTCATTCGATTTTAGGTACCAATCTGTTTCCCAGACAGCAGGCAACCTTGCATTCAAGAGCAAAACGCAGCTTGAACACAGATATCCCTGAGGAAATCTGCAAAAATCTCTGTTCGACTGATGCTTCATCGTCTAATCCACATGCATGATGTATCTGGGTGTTCTGTAGCTTGCTGGGCTGATGCATCTTTTAACTCTGTTGAAACAATAAGCCTGTGTGACAGCACTTATTTTCCCCCTGCTTTGTTGAGAAGGATTTGAAATAGAGGCACTTATGGCAAGTTTCAGGTAAGCATCAGCCGCTTCCAGTTTGAAGTGCAGTCTTGGTGAAAACGGTACGGGGCTACATAATGAGACTGGGAGTTTCACTCAAAGAGAGAGATGTAATCTGGTTCATGGTCCTCTTGACCACATGGGTAAAGCAACAGCTCCTTTCCCAGAGAAGTGATGGGTTCATCCTGTTGACAAAGAATACAATTAAACACTTTTCAAACAGGCCAGTATACCTGGAATATCCCAATATATTGCCACTCCATTACTGTGGACCTATTAATGTGTGATATGTCTAAGAGCCCTAGGAATTCAGGAAGCAGATTTGCATGGCTGGTTTCTGCCTTGTTTGTGCTTGGTGTGGTAATCCGGTGACATGATTCTGGTAGGCCTTGGAAACAGCTATGCTTAGCTTGTAATATAAGCAGCTTCTACGGTGAGAAATGCTGTCCTGCCCAGGAATTTCTGGTGTGAGGATTGTGTGGCATGCAAGTTAGTGGGACTGCAAGCTTGCCGCAGCTCCACTAGTGCAGGTGGGGTGCCCACAAGTGGGAGTGGTGTTTGTGAAAGGGGTGGGAGTGGATCCTGCAAGTGAGTATGTGCCTTCTGCTTTGGCTAGCCTGTTTCTAACAAGAATTCCCTGGAAACTGTGTTTCTGTTTCCCATCCTGTTCTCAATCCCAGTAGTAGATGTATGGTGGGAAGTCGCCTTCTTTCATGGTTACCCAGTGGGTGATGAGCAGAACCTACCAGAGCACTTTAGCCAGGTAGGTTTGCCCTGCTCCCACACGCATCTGCTGTAGTGTAGTAGAGTCCATAGGATTCTTTGCAGACTGTGGGTGTGACTCTATTTTTAATACAGGCATCCACACCCAGGCTTTAAATTTTCCAGCTCTGGTGCCAGTAAGTTGTCTAACTCCTGCTTTCAACAGATTCAGCCTGGACTGTGAAACCTATGCAAGAAGCAGGTTGAAGTAGCCCAGAGCGAGTCTCACATAGCAGATGGGCATAGATATTTTCTTCATAAACCATTTTAGTTTAATCACGTCTACATTATGCTAGGCACTTAATTAAAAGAAGCATAAATTTTATGTGAACTTTTTGGCAAAATGGTTGTCCTGTCTCTAGACAGATCTTACAGTAAATGAATGCACAGTCTGGACCTTGGAGCCTATGCAACTGCAGTCAGTGCCAGCAAACACTTGATGTTACTGTCATAAGGACCTGACAGCCTTCTTCCTTCTCTTCCATTATTTGCTACCTTTGCTCCATATCCATGTACCTTGCCTGCTTTGAAATTATAAATACACCTCGTTCTCTTGCTTTCTTAAGCTGGAGGTGAACTATTTTCTATTTAT